GGGAGACCCTAAAGAAATGAGATGCCTTTTGTAGGGTTTTGTTTTCCCTAGAGATGTCCATTGAATGCAAACTCATAGCCATGTCTCGATGTGGCTATGAGTGTAGTACACTACACTGTACTTTAATTTGGTTCTAAAAACAGCAGATTGTTTATTTTTTTGTCCAGTAGTAATTACTTTAGTTTTTTTTATTATGCTGATCATAAAGCAATTTTTACACTGTGTTATGTCATTGGCTGATCTTTAATAAATATTTTAACCAGTGTATCAGACTCATTTTGAATTGATATTAGGTTGGTACAACGTTAAGTAGCTTCTTGTGTAGTTAAGCTACTGTTAACAAATTAGTGTAACTTAGCTTGCTATAATTCTTTAGGTGGTAGCTTTTGTGTAGTGAAGCTTAATTTATTGTTGAGAAAGTGATAGCTTAGCTCACTACACTGGAAAAGTAGCTTGCCCAACACTGCTGATTGCCACCGTATTGATACGCCTCTTTTGAGGTTGTCCGGATGACTGAAAATTTGTACATGTAAAACTTTGTATAACAATTGTATATAAATATTTTAACTGAGTTAATGAAGTTGTAAGTTCCCAGCCTAAGTTAGATTTGTGACAAGACATGTGTGTGTGTGTTTTTTGGATAATAAAATGTTATGGGTCACGGTAAGGTTAGAGAAATTAATGGAGGTCTATGGAAAGGCCCTGCAAAGATAGAGAGACACATTTGTGTGTGTGTGTATGGTTGTTTATGTTACCAATTGAGGACCATGTCTGGTATATTTACTAACCTTCTGAGGACCAACAGGCTTTATGGGGACCAAAGGCTGGTCCTAATGCGGGGGACCCCCATTTTTAACCTTAGAGAGTCAGTTTACATGTGAGGTGTGAATTAACTACAGTAGGTTAGGTGCAGGTTTAGCTTAGGGATATACTGATATTGGATAGGGTTTGGGTAAATGTCAGGTTAGGAAAGCTACAGTAACTAAAATGAATGAAAGTAAATGCAAAGTCTTAATTTGGATAGAAATAAAAACTTGAGTGTGTGTGTGTGTGTATTGGAACTTCACAAAATGTTTAAAACTCCAAGGGGTATTAATGCTCCTGCAAGGCACCATAAAAGGAGCACATATAAATTGAAATTGTAGTGACGCAACCCTATTTAAACAACAGCACATATCCCTAAGGCATGCTGCTTTCACCCTGAAGTTAAACTAAAATAGCAGCGATGAGCAGACTTCTAATGCAGAACAAGCAAACAAGAGTTCCCCATTTATCCAAGAGCACAAAGGAGACTTTTTATTCTTTATTCAAGATTTAGTTGAGTGTCACAAATATAATTTTTATGATTAATTTGTGTTTTTGTCCGGGATTCCAACAGCTCCAGAGGAATGTATTCTTATACAAAAGCCAATTCTTACCAGTTCACAATTTAAATTTGCAGGATGTTATACTAATTATCAACACTTAGGTTTGTCACTTATTATACGCACAGAGTTTATAATTAGGAAACTTCCAAAATTTCTTCTGCACAACCCTGGCTGTTGCAGGCCGTCTGCTTTCTGCCATGCAGATGTTTAAGGCAAATCACTGTCAAGTGTTTGTTTGCGCATCTGAAATAATGGCTGCTTTGGCTTATGATGAAACATGTTGCATATGTAGTTATCAGCAGTGTTACTGGCTGGGATTTTCCCCTTCACATCTGGTGAGCATTTTTCTTTTTCTCAGATCTTTCACTGATTTCAACAAACAGGTGTACAGCAGTGCATTTATTTTACGCTCCAAAAGGAGGTGCTAAAAAACAGGAAATATCTAACATTTCAACTCTAAACTGAGCTCACATCTGGCGATCTATTTAATCCATTTGTCAGAGTAAAAAAAAAGGTTGTGGATTTTTTTTGTTTTTATTCCCTACACTTGTCTCATAGTTATATTTGAAGGGTGTTGCTTGTGGGACAGAGCTGCTGGAGCCTGAGGAGCTCCAGAAGGTATGTCTTGATCTCACTCCATACAAGTGTGACACATATCAGCTAATACATCATCGTGGCAGTCACAGCTAGGAACCTTCATCCTCTAACTGTCACCAGGGTGGCTGAGGCTGCAGGTCCTGACAAAGTGCTGCCCTCCTTGTCTGATCTCCCCTCCCTTGTGTTCTCCCACTGACCTCCTTTCTCCTATTCTCGCTATCCATCTCCCTGCTCTTTCCGCCTCTGTTCAACTGTACGGGAATGTCGGTGAGGGCTATGCAAAGCTAATTGAAGTGTGGGCTTTGGACGCCTGCAAGGCAGGCAGCATAATCACACATCATATCAGACTGAGCCTATACTTATCCAGGAAAGGAGAAATTCACAGCTGCCTCTTGGATCTTTGTAGTGTTATGAAATAAAACCAGAGGTCATCATATGGTTCTGTTTTATAATGTGAACGTTCCACTGGCAATTACCATTTGAAGAGGAGCCAGAGGAATTCTTGGATACCCTTTACTGTAATTGGTTATTGGAATGGTAATTACTGTCAGGAGAGAACAAAAATCATATCCAAGCTATCCCATAGTAACGCAAACGCCATGTCATTTTTTTACAGCACTGTTTTAGCTGTCAGATTGCAAGCTCGAAGTGATTTGTGGGCCTTTTAATGCTTGCTTTTACCTCATCAGTGCTGCTACCCAACAGAGGTACAGAAAGCAATAAGCATTACTCTTTGCTGTCCACTCTACCCCTTAGACCAACATTTAATAATGAAGAGGAATATACCTTTGAAGCACCTAGATTTATAGGAACTTTGCAAGACATGAATCTGAGCTTTAGGCTATGCTTAAGAACAACAGAGCTCAAGGTTGTCAGCTGTCAACAGTTTTATGTGTGACTAAAGCATGACTGGTTCTGCTGATCAGTTATCATGCTTTGATGCATTTGTTTTAGAGAAGTCAGTTTGTGATGAGTTCATCCAATACTTGTTCAGAAAGGGGAGAAATTGAACAATAAGATTCTGCTTTATTTTCTTTTATATTTATTTTATATAAATGGAAGCACAATTAACAAAGCTATTAGACTAATTAAAAACAAATGAAAAGTGAAGACTACAAAACTACAAAAAACAAATAAACATTAGAAAGATGTGTACATTTGAATGTGCTACACAGAGTACATGTAAGAAATATTCTTTTTGTCAAACTTTTTGGATAGAAAATTAGGAAGACCCTTGACTAAATTGGTGCTAGAAGGCATCTCCTTCTTTACCGCCAATTGTATTTAGATAATACTGATTATGGCACTAAGTCATTTCTGCCATGAATTATCACTACCAATTTGAGGTATTCAGATTGAGCCCAGAAATAAAGAACTGATTATTTGACTCAGGTGTGTTGAAGCAGAGACACAAAAGGTGCAGGACAACGGAACTCGAGAACCAGAATTAGGGAAACCTTGGTTAGATGAGACTAAAATTGACCTTTACTGCAATGTAGTAATGTCTACATATAGGTGAATATATATAAAATGTTTATTTCATATTAAATATAACGAAGAACCTGTGAGGCTATGCGTTTGCTTTTTTCCAGTGGCCCATAGAATCATGTCATAATTATTGGCATCAGGACTCTAAAACACCAGGCAATTTTTAATAATCAATTCACCACTGTGGTGAATTCTTTCTGAATAAACAACAGATTTTACAAAAAGGAACAATAAGAAATCCAAACCATCACAAGATCATTTGGATAATTGGTCGTTGCAAATTGTAAAAAACCCAATTTAATGTTAAAATTTCACCTTAAAGATGTTTTCGGATTAATGTTTACAAACAAAATCACAAAATCAATAGATCAATATTCTTTTAAGGCTAGTTTCATTTTTGTTTTACCAGGGGTGCCTATAGGTTTGAATGCAACTATAGCTACATCCTTTTGCAAATGGTAGAAGCTAATGATCTAAGCTAAGCCTTTTTTTTTGTATATTCACATTTTGATATGTAAAATACATGTGTTAATATTGCGCTTTTGTTTAATAAAATGTTTGTTGTTCAATTACAACCACATACAACTTTCAAACTCCCAAGTTGGCTAAAGGGAATTATTCTGATTAGTTGTGGAAGCTCAAAAGGGCCTTACCTTCCTCGGCCCACCTGTCTTCATTTCATATATGTCTATGGTGTAATTGGTCCTGCGGCCATAGTTGTCAAACTGGATGTTCCCGGTCATCCCCTGAACTTGGACCTGAAAGAAAAACAAACAATTAGATCTGAGAAAATGAGGAAGACTTGCATCACTCTGCAAATTTTGCAGGCATTAAGGTGCCTGTGTCAGTTTTGCAACTGGAGCGCACTCAGTCCGTTAATCGAATGATGAACTGGATACGCTTTAATAAAAGATGTAGTTTTATGGTAATGAGGGCTTGGATTTGAGCAAGCTCTGCGCAGAGATGTCTGGAGGCAGAGAGCGGAGAATAGCTGTGCACTCTCTCCCCTTCTCTCTGTCACTTTCCATCTTTATCATGCGAACCCCGCTCCGCCACATCTCCCCGTCCCTTCTTTTTCTGTTTGGTCTCAGCCTACCACTCCCTCCCATTTTCCTTCCTTACCGTTTTCAGAGCTCTTTCGATGTCTATGCCCTGGCTCCAGGGAACAGCGGGATTCGCCAGACAGTCTCCTGCACTGCCTCTACGTGAGACATCTACGCGTTGACGTCTTAGGTACCTGAATGCCTCGGCAATCACTAGAATGGCATCATGGGTCAGGGCGGAGGTGTACTGTCCAAAATGAGAAGGGTAAACAAAAGCAAGAGAACATTTGATGGTGAAGAAAACATTGGGAGAAATGTAAAGAAAATATAAACTGGTTGTCTTTGGAAAGCTGCTATATTGAGAGAATGAAGGAGAAAAAAAAACAACTTTCAGACTGGTTTGGTTAGGGTGGATGTAAACTTTGACACCTTGCTTATGAAGCAACTTAGGCTGTTAAGGACATATCTGTGGTTTAGGACCTCATTCATAACTTTGCTGTAGAGTTAGGTAGTTATATAGGATAAAGTTTGATTTTTATTTCCCACGTACTTACCCTGAAACTTCTCTTGACCTTTTCACCACTGAGAGGTTGAGCCACTTGTTTGTTGACCACCACACCATGGCGAAATCTAATTAAATGGCATTCTAAATCCATTTCTTCCTTGATCATTGTTTAATTAGATGTAAATTGAAGCTGCAATATAACCTTGCCTTGCACTGCCTATCAATATATTGATTGCTCTGAGAAATGCGAAGCAAAGACGGTGCAGAGAGCGAAGAATGGGAGAGGGGAGGGTGAAAGAATGATGAACGTAAACAGGATGAGATAGGAACAGCTGATGGAGATCACTTCTGAAGGAACGATTGCCGTGTCCTGCATGCACAATGTAATAAAGCCCTGCAAAAGCCTGAGTACCTTCAGAGGAGCGTTTCGTGCTTCTGGGAATTCTCTTTCATCCAACCGCTCCCATCGCTGTATGAACTGCTGCACAATTGGATTCTCAGGGTTGACGATCTGAAACCCTGAAATGTTGGCTCCTCCGGCGAAGACTTTGTCCAGACTCACATTTGAAAATCCCTACAATGAGTCAAAACACAAATGGGACAGGGGTATCATTATTGTGACTTACTGCCTTTTGAGATATATTTGTTTTTATATACATAAGGGCTTCTTATGTATTATATGAAATTATGCTTCACAGACTCATATAGTTGGTCTTTATTTGGATTCATTTCTATGCTTAAGAGCAGGGGTCTGCAACCTGTGGCTCCAGGGCCACATGCGGCTCTTCAGACGCTGTACAATGGCTCTTAATAGTGGCCAAGATATAAAAAACTAAATAATATACTATATTAATAAATACAAGTATTAGAACCTTTATTGGTTTTTATAAAGAATATTTAAATTGAATTTTCACAACTGAATGACATTAAAAGCATCAGAAATATGTTTTGTAGAGCCATTTTTCTTTTAGTTAGCTTGGAAATTATGTGTTTTATTATTATTACCGTATTTTACCCTATAGAAGAAAAGCCATGCTTCATCTTTATGAATAATTTATTTTGCATTGTCTTAATTTAAAGAAGCAAATCAAATGTTCGCTGTTTAAGTTGGAAATAGATTTCCTAATATAAAAAGTTGTTTTATATTAAAATATGATGTAATATTTTGCGGCTCTAAATGACTTTTACTTAGCCAGACTTACAGTAGGGCAATTCACTCTTTGGATATAAAGGGTTGCAGATCCCTGCATTAGAGTAATAATAAAAAAAAAAAGAAAAAGATTTTGTTAATTAATATGATGCAGTTCTTGTAGAAAGGAGGTTTGTGTGTCTGTCTGGAGTTTCCATGTTCTCTGAGTGCCTGTGTGGGTTCTCTCCGGGTACTACTACCACTGCCTCCCGTGGACAAAAAAAAAAGCGAAGTTAAATTCCACTTAAACACTTGATATACCAACCAACCTTAACCAACAAGCCGAGAAGGTATCAGCAGGTACAAACAAAAGATGGATAACAAAAAAAAAAACTTAACTAAAAAAACAATTGAGTTTTATTTATCTTCACAGTCAAGAAAGACACTTTTGTTGTTGTCACTTTATCTATTGACTTTTAAAAATACTATCTCTGGCTGCATCCAATGTCTTGTGAATAAGCTCTATGGATATAGAGCTCTGTGAACATCAGCCTTACTTAGCAATGACCTCTTATAGCTTATTCTCCACACAGATCTGAATCATTCAATGTCAACCCTTCTCTATAATTGCATAGGCAACAGTGCATAACATTTTAATATCCATCCATCCATTTTCTGACACGCTTATCCCAAGCGGGGTCGCAAGGGGTGCTGGTGCCTATCTCCAGCCGTCTACGTGCGAGAGGCGGGTTCCACCCTGGACAGGTCGCCAGTCCATCTCAGGGCAACACAGAGACAAACAGGACAAACAAACATTCATGCAGACACTCACACCTAAGGAGAATTTTGAGAAACCAATTAATCTAATGGCCATGTTTTTGGACTGTGGGAGGAAGCAGGATTACCCGGAGAGAACCCACACATGGTCAGGGAGAACATGCAAAAGAACATACAATAAGAGCTGGGCCGGAAATTGGACCCGGATCTTCTTGCTGCAAGTCTGCAGTTTATCTATCGTATACAAAAGAAATAAAAAAAAATAATAATTCAGGTTTTGTTATTATCTGGAAAGTATCATTAACATGAACAGAAATACAGTACATAGTTTTAATAGATCATTCTATGGTTTAAATTAATCTATGTAATGTGAGGTTTCACCTGTCAAACTGAATAATTAAAATGTCATTATTATTAAAAATTTTTTTGGAGAAACCTATATTCTATTAAGTTTGCTTTTACAATAATTATTGGTTAACTTTTGGCTAAATCAGTTAAAGAGATTTTTAACTTGTAATCTATCTCTGATTTCGTTTCTTTTCAGGTAGATGACTTCAGATAAATCCCAACCGGTCACTACAAATCACATAGTACAGTAAGTCTGGTCACTGGTCAGAAGTGTGCAGGGCATAAGTTATAAATCTCTGCACAGGAAGAAGGTGCAAAGCATGTAGTATGCAATCCTTTGTAGTATCTGTCTGTGTTCTGCTTTAGGCTATTTTATTTTTACATTACTAGTGTTTATCAAATTCATATTAATAAAACACCTTAAAGTTGATACATGGCTTTGTGCTCTATGCAAAAGACGCACGGTTATTGTCTATTTCATTGTTAATTCCACACTATCCAACAATTTATACCTGGCAAAAAGAAACATTTGGCTCAAGTATGGTAGCTGTGTCATGCAGAGGGTAGATCACGTTCACACCATAAAGCAGTGGTTTCAAACTCCAGACCTCATTTTCTTAGATTCAACTCTTCGTCAACACACCTGATTACTGAGCTCATTAGCACAGCTCGGCAAAGCTTGACTGCTTTAGCTATTTAATTCAGGTGTGTAGGGAAATGGACCGCTAAAAGGTGCACATCGGCCCTCCAGGATTTAATTCGGTCATAAAGGAATTGCACCAGAGTTGTTTGAGGCAGAGTTGTCTGAAACCCTATTATCATTGTTGTGTTGACAAAATAGAGCTTGTTTGAAATGCATTTATCTTTAGTAGAATTGATTACTGTAACATTGTCTTTATAGTTTGCCTAAAAAGTGCATCAGATGGCTGCAACTGATCCAAAACGCTGCTGCCAGTGTTCATCGAGAGAACTAATAAAGTACAGCACATCAGCATGGTTCTGAAGTCCTTCCAGTAACCTGTAGTTTAGAGAATAGACTTTAAAATCCTTCTCTCAGTCCATAGCTCACTGAATGGATCAGCACCTCAAGACATAACAGATTTGTTGTCAGTCTATCAACCTCCCAGACCACTCAGGTCTTCTAGTTCCAGCCTACTCTGTCCACCCAGGACTAGACACAAACATGGAGAAGCAGCATTTATTTCCTATGCCTCACTGATCTAGAAAAAAAAAAATCATAGAAGACTGGAAAAGAGCTGAAAGCTTTAAAGTCAAAAATAAAAACCCATTTGCTTAGACTTGCCTTTGACTGTGAAAGTTAAACTGTAAACTGAGGTATAATTAGTTTATGTTTGTTGCCCAATTGTTTTATTTGTTTTACACATGTTTTTTTTTAATCTTCATTTCCTTTTATTCTGCTTTTATTTTTCTTATATTTTATCGTGTTAATAATGTAAAGGACTTTGAATTATCCATGTAATGAATTGTGTAACTCAAATAATTTGCCTTGCCTTTCTTAAACACTGGTGTTTAAACACCTTAAATAACATGTTGGGTAAAAACATGTCTGTTTGCTGCAGAATCACATCTTCAAGCTGAAATAAACATTTCTTTCCTCAGAGTCTGGGAAAGGTTAAATTACCTTTAGTTAATAAATTCTTGGTATGCTTATTGAATGTGCAGTGAAAAAGGACAGCAGCAGTGGGATATTTAATGATTGATCAATGTGGATCAGTCTTTCTTTTAGGGTGAAGTTAATACACAAGCAACCTCAACGGTAATCAGAAATTTTAGCTACAAACTTCTGAATCTATTGGAGATTTCTATTCATTTACACATGATCAGATTTTTACAAACAAAGGATATAAACATATGCTGTCACCAAAATGGGAATCAGTACCTCATAACAAATCTGTACGGTTTTGACAATTTCCTGCAGTCAGGACATCCAAATTTCCCTTAACTTGGTGTCTTTTGAAATTGGAATTCAATAATTTTTAGAGTGAATTTGTACTAACAGCACCAAATATCACAATTTCTGGTGGATGGTATCTCTAAGCACACTGACTACTGAAACATATTTACTGTCTTTTAAGTCAGATTATGAAGCATTTCCCAGATGGTATTTAAAACTGCAGTTGAGCAAAAGGTTTTGGTTTTAGATTTTGGTTTCAGACTTGTCAAAAGCTTCCTTGAATATTGAATTTGAGACCCCTGCTCTAAATCTTGTTTCGCTTGACAAGGACAATGGCGTGTAAGCAGTTTCCAGTTTATGAAAAACGGCTGCTGGGTGGTTCCTGTATTGATTTAAAACCAAAGTAATATCATTTAATGTGAGGAGGGCAGTTTGGGTCAGATGGTCAGACAGTTAGATTTTCCAATATGAATATAGAGGTAAATTCATATAAAACCCTTTTTGGAATGTAGACGGCAGACATATGCAATCCTATTGAAAATTTGTGGACTTAACTGATTACCAGAGACTACAACAACGCAAAAGACTTTTACATGAAAATAGAAATACCAAAACAAAGAGCCTTTTTTTTTTTTTCCTACCACAGCCCACCTATGAACGTACACATTTTTTTCTATTACATGAAGCAAAAAGCCGATTTCCCCCTTCCCAGGGGAACAGCACGGTTATTACTCACAAGATTGGCCAGAATGTAGTGGTAACCACGGCTGTTCTTCCCCAGGGTCACAACCTGTGAGAGAAAAAAAATTCATCAATACAGTAAACCACCCATGAGATGAGAGCGAAGAGTCATGGCTAATGTAAGTGGGTGCAACAATCTCTGTAAATACAGCGACGACCTGTGAGTGCACTGGATGTTACAGGAGTTTAAAGAAAGCAAAGTTCTCTAATGGAACAAAGGAAGAAGGGGAGGGAGGACGTTTTCATTAAAGAGTAAATTATAATAACCCTAAAGGAAGAGGAACAACATGGACCCCTTTTGATTATTCAGCTTGCCTTGAAGTCATTCACAGAACACAGAGGAATCTTTCACAAGTGCTGGTCTTAAGGTGGAAATGTGGGAAAAAATAGGAAACTTACAGTGAGACAATAAGGCGCCGATCTCACTATGCTTCGAAAATATCACACCTTTGGAGCAAAACAGCGTGTTTCAGCCTACACAGCTTGTCTGAAAATAGTAAGCACTGTTTCCTTCTCAATGCAGCCGTAGAAACCATATGCTGCTTTTATCTTCCTTCAGGATTTTTTCTGTATTTTATTTTGGTGTGAAACACCCAGCAACAAAGACTCAGAGTAGCCCGTCTTTCTGTGTTCTTCTCCAGGACAGACGGCTCAACAGGGGCCTTAAACTGGTTGTATTTTTTCTGCTGCGTACAGACTTCTTAACCTGAAGACTGCGAAGACGAAGTTTGTATAAATAAAGGTTTTTTTATCATAGAGAACACAGCAACACCTGTTTACACCAAAATCAGCCTACTTGCACATTTGGCTTATGCTCCATCTCTAAAGCAAATTGTTGGTTTATAATACATTGAGTGTGCATGTGAGGCCAAAAACACATGATATTTGCTTCTAGGGATAGTTTACAGAGTTCTCCCAGTATGATAAAGAGCAATGAAAGGCACCCTTGTTCCCTTACAGATCAAGTTTCTCCCTCATTTCAGCTGCAATTACTACTTTTTCCTGTTTGTTGTTAATCTACAAAGGTGGGAGCTATTTGAGCTTTATCCTTCCTTAGATATAATAACTTGAAGAATAAAATAAATCCCCTGTCTGCTTTCCTCCAGAAACAAGTAAGTCGTTAGCAACAGGGAAACTTGTCAGTGGTGCTTTTCAAGAATGGCACACGAGGGAGCACAAACACACAAAGTCTCTCACTCAGTCTATGTGGACGGGTCAGCATTCTCTGAGAGTTTCCTCTTCATTGAGGCTTTGCACCCCCAACAGCGCATGACGTCAGATGGGAACAAACCAGTAGGGTGAAAGAGAAACAAAGACAAAATGGGCTGATTATACAGCTAAAAAGTAGGAGCTGGCTTTAGATCCCATCAGTCTCTTTGTAATAAATAAGTGAAATCAATTCCTGTAATGTTTTTAGCATTTTAGAAGGAACAGTTATTCACATGTCTGCTGGATTTAATGTATTTCAAGCACTGCAGCATTTTGTGACTGAAGCCCATCTCTCCACAGTCCTTCCTTTGTGTGCTAACCTTGACTCTGGCTTTAAACCTCCTCACACCTGCTCTGAAGCAGAGCATAGAAAGACTTCACCGCATGCCTGTAGCCCACAGCTTACAGCCAGACTGGCAACAGCTACATAAGGTAACCTTGGGATAAAGCAAACCAAACATTGATGACACAGATACACACGGCACCTCCAGCCAGGACACAACCCGTTATGTAGTCAACATGTTCCTTCTCTTAATAAAAGTGACACATTTCACGTCTATGTGATTGAGAGTAATTCATTTGAAGTGTAAAAGCACCGTTATTAGGCAAATCGTACAAAAGAAATGCATATTTGCTTAATAGTTACATAAAGCAGCATCCATCCATCCCATTTTCTGTTACACTTATCTCAAGCGGGGTCATAAAGGGGTGCTGGTGCCTATCTCCAGCTGTCTAGGGACGAGAAAGGTCGTGGAAAGGTCGCCAGGCTATCACAGAGCAACACAGACACAAACAACCATGCACACATACACCTAAAGACAATTTTAGGGAAGCTAACTAACCTAACAGTAATTTTTTAGACTGTGGGAGAAAGCTGGAGTACCTGGAGAGAACCCACACATCATCAGGGAGAACATGCAAACTCCATGTAGAAAGACCTGGGCCGGGTATTGAACCAGTGCTACCGACTGCTGCCTTCATTATATATTTTGCAATGGACCCCAATCCGTGCTGCTGCAGGGTCAGTCATAAGCATAAATAATCAAAGATGTCTTCTGATGCAATGGGAAATTGGCTGTTGTGGCCTATTGGATGTTGTCACGGCCGTCTTTCCCTGATCTGTGATTTAAAGCAAAAAATTCAATCAGCTTTCTTATCAGTAATGAACCATAACAAAGAGCTAATGGGTCTTTCTATAATATTTTGAGTATGTAATTTGTTGCTGAGTATAAAAGCTATTTTCAGGGTCACAGTGAACAAAACCAGGGGCAGCGATGCAGAAAACAATCTGAACTTTTTTTAAGGAGGCATCAGGGCTATTCCTTCTTTTTTCTTTCGCACATCTAAACAGGAACCTTCAGAAAATAACAGGTTGCTAAACCTATTCCCCCAACTCTGAGGTCTGTAATGAATCTCTCTGGATTAGGTATGTAGACAGTTTGGAAATATCCCCATTAAAATAAGGGTCTCATACCTGAAACTGTAGAAGTATTCTTTTTTATAAGTATGGCTTATTTTTAGAAAATGTATGAAAAGAAAATGGCCATAAAATCTCTGATCGGTGTATCTCCATACATATGTATGTATATAGCCTTCCATTGCTTTAAATACATATATCTTTGAGTTACTTAGATAGCTGAAGATATCAGAATAAACAATAAAAAATTATTCTTGATTTTAAAAGAAACCTTTGAAAACAGTTGCGGTTCATCACATTCAACTAATTTTGCTCAAATTAATCTTTTTTTTTTTTACAATGATTAGTTTATCACACATGTTGTGAGTTGCAAATATATATAATAATGCAAAAACAGAAAATGGAAGCAATCTGTAAACCTGCTGCAAATACATAAAAGCACAGCAAAGAAACACCTTATTCTTACACACTAAATACAAAAAATGCAGTAGCAAGTAGCAAAAAAAAAACTAACAAAAAAAAAACTCTAAGTCAAGCAAATCTAAACTCTAGTTCTGCATAATAGACCCTACTGTAAGTGAAGTCTGCTATTAACTCATGTTGGTCCAGACAGACCCTGAAGGGTCAGACCCTCCAATTTGCCAAAAAGACATTTAAAGGGAAGAAACAGAAATACTTTTACCTTTTAGTATTTTTTTAAAGTCCGAGGCTGATTCCAAATACATTAAATTGTAGCTCCTACCTCCTGTTCCTACCTTTCAAGGGGTCAACAGTAAGAACTCTGTACGGTGGGCTGTGTGTACATGTTTTGTCACCCAAAGGTTTATGGGAAACCTTATAGCTCCTAAGTGCCACAGAAATGTTGGGTGGTCCCTGTGCTAAATGAACTATTGATAGAAAGCATCCTGCTTCCTCTTCCTACCAAAAAAGTGAAAAAAAGCGTTTTCAATTCAAAATGTCAGAATTAACGTTGAGTTTGAAGCTTTATATAGTAGCCCACTACTCTCCTATTCCTAGAGAATTCCTTACTGCCAGCATTATTTGGACAGTACTTATCATGACGGCAATTGAAATACTTACACTTTGGCTTAAGTATCCTTACTGATTTGCATAATTCAGAAGGAGCTTGAATTTCTCTCAACATCCCATTTATGGCTCTGTTCGAAAACCTAGGACGCATCCTTAGAAGACCGGATTCGAAGGCCGATTACGTCATAGCGCGGCGCCGATGTCTGGTCGGATTCCAAGAGTCCTCGTTATGCGGCCTAAAAATGCGTCCGTCTTTTTGCCCGATTTGAAGGTCGGGTCTGATGTATCCTCGGTATTCTTGGATATCCCATTCAAGATATTCATTGCGAGACAAAGCAAGCTGTGATCAAAGTAAAGGTTACTTGGCGCTGAACAGTGGTGAAAATTGGAAGTTCAGTTTAATATAATACAAGTTATTTAATAGTTAGTGTTTGATTTATCTAAAGGTTTTTATCTATTACTGTGTAAATGGGTTTGGCTGCAATTAAAGGACAGATTCTAATATATCTGCAGGGTGGGGACTATAAATCTGATAGGATTTTTATCTTTTTATTGCTGTTTTGCACAATATGCTTAACTACGTATTTTTTGTTGTTAAATATTAGAGATTTTGCAGATATATTTTTTATAAATACATTGTTTAGATTTACTTATATCTTTCTACCCCTTTTATAGAATAGAATAGAAAATCCCTTTATTGTCCCACAATGGGCAAATTTACAGCAGCAGAAAGATTATTGAAAATGGTCACACAAATGTGGACCTTAGAAAAATGTATAAGAATAACATAATAGGGAAGAGTTAAAATATAAACAATACAATACTGTAAAGTGTTTTAACAATAAAAAACTGGGGAATAAATAACCAATATGCAGCTATGGACATTTTTACAGTAATGGATATTCGAAAATAGCAGCAACATCAGAGATGTGCAGAATGACAGCAGCAGGTATTTTAACTGACTAAGGTTTCTATCATTACATTTGATTTTATTTGTTCCTGCTCCCGGTGGTTGGAACATTTATTCCATTCTGGATTCTTGTTAGTGTAGTCTTTGTTCACTTCACAATAAAAAAGAAATAAATAAACAGTTTTGAAAACTTCTGTATTCATTCTTTTCCTGCTTTGTGTGTCAATGTTTACGGTTGCTAAGCAACAGAGCATACAGCAGTAAAACCCCCTGAAGGGTAGACCTGGTCGAATTCACAGCCTAAACTCTTCCGGTCTCCTTATTTTCAAGGACTTCGAAGGATCCAGTCTAGGTAGACCGGGTCCTTGGAGGACACGTCTTAGGTTTTTGAACAGAGCCTATGTTTTTGCTAAGCTCCTGGCCAAATATGAGTCAGCAATTATTTCCCTCTAGTGGTCTGGAGCAAGTTTGTTATACAGAGCTA